AATTTATCTTGATGAACGCGTCATTGGAATGATACTAATGGATATTTTGGTCGCTATTGAAAATATAGTCGATTGCTGAACTTTTAATGGGCCCAAATTAGAGGCATATATGTCGACATTACATCAATTTCCCCTATATACTGTCTTACGGAAAGTTTTTTTTTTTCATTTATTTTGGCCAAAATTGTCATGTGCAACACAACAGGGTCCATACAGTTGATGAGTGCCAAATATCATTTTATTTATTTATTTGATATATCCAGAGAACTTCAAGATTAGGGCGTAATGGCTTTTGTAAACAAACACGCCAATTACCGATTTCTCGCGAACTAAAGCTCAATCTTCAAAAACTAATAACACAAACAGGTAGAGGAATGATTCCTCCATCATTTGGTATAGTTTGTTTGTAATATTAAGGTTTTATTCGCGAGAAATCGGCGATTGACGTGTTTGTTTACAAAAGCAATTACGCCCAAATCTCAAATCACCCCGGATATACCAGTGTAATGTTCGACATAGTTATAGCGCAAGTTATTTGAAACAACTTCTCTATCTCTAATGGATCACGATTTATTCTGATTTTTTATAAGCAACTTAGGATGATACTTAACAGATCGGTTTTTTAACAGTAGCTTTTTATACATTGATGTTAGGCAAAATTCATCTTCTCGTTTTTTTTTTTGAAAAGTTATAACCGAAATTAACTGAAAAATACGTTATTTTCAAAATGTATCTAAAAATGTCGCAAGTGGATTTTAATGGAATTAGTTGCATTGGAATGATCGTAATTTAATTAAATTTAGTACTGAACATTGTTCCAAAAATACGTTAGCGTTACTAGCGACACTCACGACTCTTTTTGAATTCTCAGTCAGTCTACTTTCAGGAATAATGCTGGGGAGTAAACATTGATTCCAATCTAAATAAGAATGCCAGAAGCATGACTGTCGCTATTCCCGGTCACACCCATCTTTGCCATAACTAGGGATAGGGAAGGAGATGTTGATGTAGTACTTACTAAACGAGAGGCCACCGACTTAACAAGACCCTCATAAGTGCAACGGAGTTGAAGGGTTGGGTATGGTATTCGGTTAGGATTCGCCTCAAGTTGGCGATGCATCTCAAAGTATATATTGTTTGTGTGTTACTCATTCAATCTCTCGATAGCCGACTATCGAAAGAAAATATTCATTTTATTAAGTGATCATGCATTTTAAGAGTCATGATGGAGAGTTTCTGATTAAACCCATAATGTTCTGCTCAGTAAGCAAAAACGATCGCTCCAGGGTCATCGAACATCTCAGAACCATAACGTTTCGCGACTAAACGCGATTACGTTTTCGCTTGGTATGTAACGGACGAATGTAAATCTTAAATATACAAATTACGATAGGGATTTATTGTGCTGTGGAAGAGCTTGGGGTTAAACACATGATTTTCTGCCCAGTAAGGAAAAACGATCCCTCCAGGGTCATCGTGCATCTCACAATCCACAGCGCGTCGCGTCAAAGTACGATTAAGTTCTATTTTGGTATGTAACGAACGATTAAGATCCGCGATAATTCATGTATTTTGTACGGTTGATGGTTAATTTCAAATATACGAATAGTAGTGCCAACGACGACGATAATAACGATTTTTGGAGTTTACTTTTTGCCTAGGATAAAAACACTTTGGCACCTTCACTGGATGCTCATGGGCATCTATGTAGTTCCAATTCTTTTGATTTGCGCTAAAAGCCCTTGCCGTAAAATCAGTTCGTAATCTTTCTCTGTTGGTTTCTGTCCTCCGTTGTGGACGCTCGGGTTGCTGAAGTATTTCCTTTAACGCCATGCTACGGTTATCGTGTTAGTGTTCGCGTCGCACCTCCTCACTTTGCTGTTGTCGGATTGACAAAATTGCCCATGCTACGCCACCCACCTGTGTCCATATTTCAGCTGGTAGTCGTTTGTAATCATATGAGCCGTGGAGGCTTAAGGTCAGGACTTGTGAGGACCGCAGTTAGGTACCACGATCCTTCCAGGTTGTCAACTCACCATTTTGTAACCCCGAAAATTGTTCAAAAATTACCACCAAAAAGAGATAGTACTTCAGCTTCGGCACAAATCGGCGCTCTAATATAAAAAAAAATGTGTATATTTAATGGGGGTCGACGGTAGACCTAAAACTAAAGATTTAGGCACATTAATTTATTCCACCTAAATACGGTCTCTGAAGCATTGTGCAGTGTTTGACAGAATCTCCTGAAGGTCCATTTTTAGAAATTTTCAAAAGTTCTCAGAAAGTATTTGAGTATTTGAAACCTCCAAAACTCTGAAAGCTCTAAAAATTTCTCAGAATATCCACGAGCTGTTCAGTTATCTGAACAACAACTAAGATGTATGTACCCGCCGGAGCTCGTTGAACATCTCTGAAGGAGGTGTAGTGGTAAGCGTGATTACCTCTCACGCAGCAGGCCTGGGTTCAATCCCAGTCGGCGCCGCCGGGACATCTCTGATCATGTAAAGGAAAGTAAAGCTGTTGGTCCCCGTTTCTGCAAATCAGTAATTCAACCATGAGTTATAAACAGGTTCAAGGACCGGTTGACATAAGATCACAAGCACGAAACAGGTAGGAAACCGGGAGCAGCATGCAGGAAGACGGAGGGAAAGGTGAAGGTAGTTGTGATGTTGCCAAAAAGGTCGGTGTTTTGCAAAGTTAAGGTTCAACCTTCCCAAACCGCGATGAACGCCAGCAAAATGTTGTCAAATTTGCTTCAAAATACCTTAATTGGCAGGGTATCTGCACCTGTGGAAAAAGAAGTAAAAGGGCACAAAGTGCATTATAGGGTATACGTCCCTAACCTCGGTCTAATATGCAGCCATCGATTACGTTTTCAATCATAACTCATCAAATAATTTACCTGCAAACGATATTCTACTGCTAAATGGTATGCTTAGATATGCTTATCATGTCGTTTGCTATCAGGAACCACGAAAAGTTGAAAAACTTACTTTTTTTAAGACATAAACTCACCAGGGAAATGTATGTAATATCGGTCTAGTGTCCCCAAATTGGGTCTATTCATGGCTGCAACTTCGTCCCATCCTGTTTGATCCTCAAAAGAACGCTCTTGGTAACGTTTTCTTATGAATTTTTTTAGTCACTATCACTGTTAACTTAATGCTCTTCATTCTTCAAAACATTTCACAGAGAAAATTTTACTAAAACTACATTAAATCACTCAAATTAAAAAATTAAAAATTTCGCTTATCGTCAAGCGACCGCAGAATATCGAAATCAAAACATTGTGATGTTCATTATACAGGTTCGGCAGGCAAAATCTCACTTCCTGTTCGTTCCTTATCATTCAAATGCAAACCACATTGTTGACGTCACTCTTATTGCGTGCGTATGAGCTAATTTAAAAGAAAGAGACAGTGATTTTCTTTCTGTCAAACCAATTATCATTGATCTCACGTTTTTCAAATCAAAATGGAAGCAAACGAATCATCTCACGACCACACTTACAGCAAACCGTCAACTTGATTGTTTTTTTCAAAGGGCCTAGTACAAATCTATTTATTTTTTAATCGAAACACGCTTATCAATTCTTAACTGAAATTTCGTGGGAATAACCCTAAAAACAACATTTCTGTAAAATGTTATAAATAAGGTGATCCATTACACGTTCCGCAGTTGACCTGACAGCTAATAATCATGATCAAATGTGAAATGTCAAAAGTTTTCGGTGAATAAAAATATCAGCTAACCGCAGCTGTCAGCTCGTCTAGAATAGAGTGCGCCACCCGGAAAAAAATAACCATACAATTACCATAAAATAAAATACAATTACAACTAAATCTATTGTCACCAATCGATCTTATTGTACGTATATTGTACAAGAAATTTCAACATATTGTTATTACAATAGACGTACAATACATCCCATATTGTAAGGATTTTCAACAATGGAACAACAATACAATTAATGGTAAATGGCTCAAGTTTGTTCTGGAAAAAGGGATTTTTCGTATGGTTAAGATACATAACAACCCCCTTGTTCTATTGTAGATTGCCCCATTTACCATAGATTCTATTGTGGAATCAATAAATTCTATAGTCATTTTATTGTTGTGGACAGCACGATTTATTGTGAATAAAATAAATCCTATTGTATGGTTACAATACATTTCATTGTACCTCTATGGTTCTTTTTTACGGGCACAGAAGTGCTTGGGACCAATGGGCTACTCAAGCAGTGAGCCAATTTAAAATCGTTAGTTTCTACCCGCTGCTGGAACTGTTTTAAATATAAAGTAATCGCACTTATTTAAAACAAAAATCTCCATCTTAGCGCCCCTCGGTGGGACTTTGTATGGGAGCGAGCTGTCAATTTGTTAGTTTAGTGTCAAAAAATAAGTTATTATTTTGCTTTGAATCGTGATTTAAATATCGAGATGAAAACCTATGGGTTTGAAAAAAATATCGTTGTGCTCAGAAAACGGTGCTTTTTCAGATAATGTATCAAACCAATACATTTTTCAAAATTAAAGATTCCAATTAAGCATTAACTTCTCCAGAGGATCATCACCCACCGTTTTGAACATGTTCTGCACTCTCTTTGGTGGAAAAATGATAATTAGCACAGCGATCAAAAAACGTCGATTAGTTATTAATCGAGTAATTAAAAAGAATGGAACATCTTTGATTTTTGGTGTGATTGCTTAGATAACTTTGCATAATTTTAACACTACCAAAGAGGCAGCATAAGCACAAAAAAATCTTGCATACGGGCGTATTAATTGAATGAAAGAGGTTTTTTTTTCTTTCGACTGTTTCTTTGAGATAACTGGTTTCTTTCATCGAACTGTGTATAGAAAATAGCCGGAAGTGTCATTGATTTAGGTTTATTAGTTTTAATCCATTAAATAAATGTATCAGTATTAATCGATTAAATGCATAAATCAGGAAAAAAAGCTGGAAAAAAGAAAAAGGCAAACACAGATCGAAGAAGAACCTCATTTCTTCTTTTTTTGATTCAAGCGATTTTCTTTGTCTTCAACTGATTTCTTTTTCAGTTCGTTTTTAGCTTTGGTTCGCTTTTCGCGTTCTGCTGCTTTAATTTTCTTCGCTTCATCCTTCTCGAGTTTGATTTTGGCTCTGGCTTCAGCTTTCTCCTTTTTTAATTCTTCAGCTTTCTTTTTCTCGCTTTCCAATATTTGTAGATCTATTAATCTCTCTGACGCTGTTAAGACGGAATACGAAGCGGTTTTATAGTTTCGATGTTTTGACGTTCTTTTCGGGGTTGGTGGTGTTGTAAGGAAATCGGATATGCTTAATTTCCTTTTGATGGGCATATTTTCCGTCAAAAGCGCATCCCTGCAAAGTGTTTGAACCTCTTCAGCATTCTCGGTACTATGGCACTGATTGTTTGTTTCCGGTGTGCATGGTGTTGAACATTCTGATGGATTCAATTTATGCTTCGAACTGGAATTTATCGTATTTGTTACATCTGTAATTTAAATTAACAATCTATTAATTTTTTAACAAATGAAAACCAACTTTTAGAAATTGGAAGGAATAATCATGCCTTTTTATCTTTTTTTATGACAATAATTAGAACTCACCTCTTATGGTCTCACAAGCGATTGTAGGTGAGCTTGGTGCAAGCAGGACGGGGGAATATGTATTTGACATATTTTCCTCCAAAAACGCCGGATTCTCCTTTTCAGTATCCATCATAACATCTGCTCCAAAGCTCTCGGTGTAATGCGAATCATCGCCAGTGTACAACTCTATTACATTCTCTGAAACATCATCCTCGCTTAGTGTTGAATGATCCTGCACACTTCTGATAATAGTAACTCCTTGTATGTTTGCTGGCCTAGGCATATCGGCTTCAGGTTGATTTTCGGCAACCTGTGTTGACTCTCCCAATGAAAGAATGTTTTTTAGAATGTAATACAAAGCTCTATCGGCCTGCGACATGTATTCAAACGGAATTGAACAAAGGAACTGAATTTTTTCTTGTCCGATGAGGATCTTCGCTTCTTCAATAACAGGTAGAGGAATATTCACTACGGAGGTAGCCTGATTTTGACTCCCTTCAGCTTCAACTGGAACATGTTTTCTCGCCAAACATTTACTGTAGTCTACAACGTTTGGATTGAATGGGAAGAGCCCACATGTTCGGAACCCATTTGCAATGGTAGATTGTTTCAAAGCAATTGTGTTGGCCTTCTGCAAAAGCTTTCCAAAATTGAGCATCGTTACTGTTTCCGTTGGATTTTCGGATTTCATTTCATCGATCACACGAGCCCACGAGTTCTTAAGAGGCCGGAATACAGCTACATCAGCTGGCTGTAATATTCTTGTAGTGTTTGGGCACAGCGCTACGAGAATAATTCCAAGTTTCTCACAAACCTCAGCTGCTTCGAATGTGGTATGCGACTTGTGGCCGTCAACAAAGTAAAGAACTGGAAATATCGTTCTATTCCGCAATAAAGTGGGATAGAGAACCTTTTTAATGTACTCCACGAAATTAAGGGTGTCCATCCACCCGGATGCGCTGGTTCCTATACCCCAATCTCCAGGGAAGCTCTGAATTAGATCCTTGCTCAATCGTTTGTAAGGTAGTATAACATGAGGAGGAATGACTGTTCCATCTGCAGCAAATGTGTACATCACCGTTACGTTCTGTTTTGCGTTCCCTGGTTCAATAATAGGTATATTTTTTTTCCCTTTAGTGGCAATTACCCGCTTGCTGCTAGGTTGAATGGAAAAGCCGGACTCATCTCCGTTCAAAATTCTTGAAGGGTCCTTGAGTATGTCTACTAGATCATGGCTTTCCAAATATTTGTGGATGGTATCAAACCAGCGTCTTATATCATCCTCAGAAACTCTAGCGCTCGCAACGGTGACGGCTTCAGGTGTTCGCATTGAAAATTGAGGATGACGGCGCAAAAATGCATCAATCCAGTGTCGACCTGCAAGCATAAATTAAAAACAGCGATAAGTCAATTTGAAATAGAAACATAAGCGCGCTTTTAAATTAAGAAATGCTCCTATAACCTGTGATTACCTAGCCGTGTTTCTGGAGACGTGAATACTCAGACTTATTACCTTTTCAGGGTTTTATTTTTAGTTAGAGAGGAACATTACATCGAAAAATAGAAACAACTTCTTTTTTTTTTACTTTTGTACAGCCGGTTTTCTGTAAAAAGCAATCGATTTTACCTGCACTTCTCCACCGAAACGCTAAAAATGCTGGAAAAAACAAATGATATAGAAACTCACCAGGTACATTTCCTTTGAACGGAGTAGATCTGGGATTGCACTTAATGTAACTAGCTATTTTGAGCTGTAATCTTTGTCGTGTAATCGGAAATCCCTTTCTTTCCATTTCGTTCAGCCATTTGCATATTTTTTGCTCCTCATCTGGAAGTAGGACAGGCAATCTTCCACTTTTTCCATGTTGTTTGCATTTATTGCTAAGCCGAAACTGTAGCGTTGAACGTGGTATGCCGTAGTATTTCGTCACATGGTACATGGACAAGGACCCATTTTTAATTTTGGGCAATAATTCTTGTAACTGCTTCTCTGTATAACGTTTTTGTGACTTCTTGTCTCGATATGTAGTTTGGTTAGATTTATTTGATTGGGTTGTTGATTGCGACGTATCTGAAATAATTTGAAAAATAATTATATCATAGCCACAGTGAAGAAAAATAGCGCACTGACAAATTTATGTTCCGCTTCAGTGGTGTCATGTGTTTAAATCTTTTTTAATGTCTCTGTGTGCAATAAAACAACCTCTACACTATACGAATTCATGGAACTGGTTCATGAAGTTCCAGTACTAGTGCTAGAATTAGGGTAAGCCGTGAGGAAGGCTTTCCATTAGAATCTCGGCAAAATAAATATTGCAGTAGAATAATTTTTTTTCAATCTCAATACATGTTTTTCTGAAACCCTTTATCTTATGGGACAGTAACAAATAAAGATTATTCAATACACTATCATTATTTTCATCGATATTTAATTGGACTAACAATCATGTTCAATGAGTGTATGATAGCATCATTGAAAATTTATGCAGAACAATCATATAAGGTGTATTTTATTGGGAGCAATATTCAGCCACAGACAAACAGACATAACACTGACAATCACATTCGCAAATAAGGTTATGTACTCGCATTTGCAATGGTGGCACCACTGAAGTGTTTTAAAAAAAATCCACATAAACAAGTATTATAAAGCTATTATAACATTTATCGTTGTATGATTATTCAAGTAAACAATTTGATGATACATGTTATCGTGCAGTTACTATAAACCTAAGATAAAGTGAATCATATCGATGATAAATGTTATGATTAAAAAAGATCTTACCTTATCTTATCTTAATGTTATGATTAAAAAAGATCTGTAGTTAATCGTAAAATAGGACCATTCCCGATGGATGTATGTAAAATTGTAATTTTGATGCAAACAAACGGTTTGGTTGACGCTTCCTCTCATAATCACCTAGCGCACTCTACATTGGTGATGCATCCAAACACCCTATACTTTCATGAAAATTTTGTTCGATAAAAACTATTTTTTTGTATGGTAACTATACTTAACGACCTATTAAGCTTATGCTAAGAACTTTTTTTATCATAACATTTATCATCGATATGATTCATTTTATTTTAGGTTTATATTAACTGCAAGATAACATGTATCATCATATTATTTACTTGAATAATCATACAACGATAAATGTTATAATATGTAGCTTTATTATACTTAATTATACGGGGTACGAGCGTGTATGCAAAATACACTTGACGATATTTTTAAAATAATTTGCTTCTAACAGTTATGTCTATTTGTCTGTGATTTAGCTGTGTTCATCCCAAAACCAATTAGTTGTTAGTAGGTTTTCCTATAGTGAATACATAAATGACTATCTAATAGTTTCTACATGGCTGTTTACACACTACACAGCAAAAACAGTTGTTGAATATTACATCCAAACTGCTGCAACCAGATCATTCCATTGTGTTATATTACATGGCATGATGTACTTATCACTAACTGCTTTCTCTCTGAGATGATCACGTTGGTCATGACGAGAGGAGCAACACAATAGTTGGGTAAAGAAGAACTGCATTATAACACACCATCGACTGGAAATGCTCTCGCAACGTGGGGCTTTAGATAGTGATGAAAACGTCGCTAGAACTATTCCACAGCCGCAGTCAGTTTATGAGCAACAAGAGGGACGCACATTTTTGCCTGTGGACTTGGATACATACTTCAAGTCCCCGCGTACATCGTACGGGTTAGGCAAAAATGTGCGTCTATCTTGAAAAACTGTCGCATTAATGGCCCTTCGCTCATTTTCAACTTCTATTCACTTTTCATACTGCCGTACTCTAACGGAACTATCCACCTACCCTCTTCTAAAGATCATTCTCTAGCTAATAAATCATCACACTAAAGCTTCATGTTAGCATTTCCAACCAACTCATGATAGTAGTTAAGCAATCCTCACACATAATTATGAAATCTCTTGAAGGCAGATGTTCAAAAAATTTTGGAGAATTCAAGGAAGGCTCATCTTCAAAATGTATAGTGTAGATTAGACATAAAAGACATTAGACATAAAAATTGGTCAGGAGAAGGGATTTGTTACTAAAATCTAAAAGCCATGTAAACTAAAAAAATTTAATTGTTATTCGCATGAACACGACTCATTGTGGCATTCAGACTAATCTATATTTATGAAACAGCAAAAAAGGTTATCTTCCATTTAATTCCACTTAATTAATTTTGGTATCTTTAACAGATCAGTATTTCGTCTACCATGTGTAGTCTCATCTGTGTCATTCCCACTAAAGATTAATCAAAATCTGACCTGTGAGTACTCATCCCATAGAGAAAAAATTGAATGGTTGTGTCGTAGACACAACCGCAGTATGACGTAGAACCACGCAAAATTGATGTAGGGGAAATGTATGTAATGTCGGCCTAAGTGTCCCTAATTTGGGCTCATACATAAATTCAGCAATCGACTAAATTTTCAATAGCAACCAAAAATATCCATTAGTACCGTCCCAATGACGCGTTCATCTAGATACAATTGATAAATAGCAAATTTTTAGTGATGAGCCCAATCTTAGATCCATAGGCCAACATTAGAGCCATTTCCCCTATGTCATGCATTTTTGACCATTATACTTTATCTTAAATGTTTCAAGTATTTCAATGATAAAAACAATATTTGAAATTTTGTTAGTGTTCAATGTTGGTTCAAATATTTTTCCTGGAATGTAATAAATTACCGTTATATGTTTTGGCGTAATAAGGACTGTTTTAATTTCCATTATATGCTATTAAATTTTAAAATCAACTCTTTTAATTTTATTGCATATCAAACTTTTCCACGTTTTGTTTTAGTTATACGGGAACCAAGTCTCATTCCAGCCCATCGCTGGTTGTGAAGGTGATAACACCGTGATCCACCTTTATCCGCTGACTTGCTCCTGCTTGCTGCAAGAACAAGTGCCACGCCGTCCGAAGTGGTAATGAGCGGTAATGCTGTCGTAGCAGCGTTGTTTTATATTTTTTTCAGGTTCAAGCAGAACGATGTGCAACCAAGTGGTACTCAATTATGACGACTGGGTTTGGGAAAACGTTTATATCATGAAAACAGCGATTAAATTATTATTTGTACATTTTTGAAAAGTTTTTTAATAGAAAATTGAAAGAAAAAATATGTATTTCAGCAGATTTGTTATGTAATATCCTATCGACTGGCGTATTTGGATTTTAATTTCATCTATAAATGACAAAGTTACAAGCGTTCAAAACCTTGGTAGACATCATAATTAAATAATGAATTTGGGTTGTAAGCGGAATGCTTAAATAAAACAGCAAAAAAGATTATCTTCCATTTGATTCCACTAAATTAATTTTGGTATCTATGACAGATACGTATTTTTTTTTTTTTTTTTTTTTTTATAATTCGTTTATTTTTCCAGGCTCATTTGCTGTAGCTTTGCGGAGCCGATATTCATTGTTTAAATAACAAAATTACTTAAAACTAACGTTAGTAAAGCGGAGGCCGATTACTCGCGGCTATCTCGAGGTTAGGGGTAACAAATTGTAACAAATGGATGGCAGGGTAGGGATTGTGAACACAAGGTTTGGAGAGCAATGTGCTCTTGATCTCGAACTAGGCGACACTCTGATGAAAAAGACAAACATGGGGGTACACCGATGGGCAACTAACAACTTGGGAGAACACAAGATGACACTAACTACTAAATCCTCAAATCTATCCGTTTTAAAAACACATAAATTAAATTCAAATAGTCGAGGTCTCGGCTCGCCAAGACATCTCTAACGGGTATCGCGGGTTGTTTTCCTCGGGCCCTGAGGGATATGGATAACTCAGATCTGGCAACACGGTGTAAGGTACATGACCAAACAACGTGCTCGATATCGTGATAACCACTGCCACACGCACATAAATTGCTGCCTGAGAGCCCAATTCGATAGAAATGCGAGTCTAACGAGCAGTGATTGGACATAAGCCTTGATATAACGCGTATAAAGTCGCGGCTCATGTCCAACCCTTTGAACCATGGCTTGTTCGACACCTGAGGGAGAATAGAATGTAACCATCTTCCCAATTCACCATCATTCCATTTTTGTTGCCAACTGATGAGGACTTGCTGACGAGCAATGGAGAAAAATTCGTTGAAGGCGATTTGTCGCTCAAAAATATCGCCTTCCATAGCGCCCACCTTAGCCAATGAGTCCGCTTTCTCATTACCCGGAATTGAGCAATGAGATGGGACCCAAGCTAAGGTGATAGTATAGGAGCAGTTAGATAAAGCACTCAGTTTAGATCGTATTTCAGGCAGGAAATACGAGGAGTGCTTCATCGGCCTCATTGAACGAATAGCCTCCAATGAGCTAAGACTATCCGTAAAAATAAAATAATGGTCAGACGGTAGTGAGGCAATTCGCTCTACTGCGTAAAATATAGCTGCGAGTTCCGCAACGTATACTGAGCATGGTTTCTGCAGTTTATAAGAGGCGCTATGAAATTGATTAAATACACCAAATCCAGTGGAAGCATTTATGGTTGACCCATCTGTGAAAAATCTTTTATCGTTACTTACATGGTGGTACTTGATTGCGAAAATTGAGGGAACAACCATCGACCGATGGTGATCTGGTATTCCATGGATTTCTTGCATCATGGTCAGATCAAAATTTACAGAGGAACTATAGAAGGCTTGAAAGCAATCACGATTGGAGATTAATGAAGAAGGACCAACCTCCAGCGTCATGTACTCATAGTACAAACTCATGAATCTTGTTTGAGGATTTCTGTCGAGTAGCTTCTCAAAATTTTCTATTACCAATGGGTTCATTACTTCACAACGGATAAGAAACCGGAAGGACAGTTCCGCGAAACGATCTGTCAGTGGGAGAACACCCGCGAGTACTTCGAGGCTCATCGTATGCGTCGAGTGCATACAGCCAAGCGCGATTCGGAGGCAACGGTATTGAACCCGTTGCAGCTTCAGGATATGTGTTTTCGCCGCGGATTGAAAACAGAAGCTACCGTACTCTAGAACCGACAAGATGGTTGTTCGATACAACCTGATCAGATCTTCCGGGTGTGCTCCCCACCAAGTTCCAGTAATTGTACGAAGAAAATTAATTCTTTGCTGGCATTTTTGTTTCAGATACGCAATATGTTTTCCCCATGTGCATTTGGAATCGAACCAGACACCTAAATACTTAAAAGAAATACTTTGAGTGATTGTTTTACCCATTAGCTGAAGCTGTAACTGTGCAGGATGGTGCTTCCTAGAAAAAACAACCAACTCAGTTTTCTCCGGAGAGAATTCGATACCCAGCTTCAAAGCCCAAGTAGACAAGTTGTCTAAGGTATCTTGCAATGGTCCTTGCAGGTCCGGTGCACTTGGTCCTATAACAGACACAACGCCGTCATCTGCAAGCTGCCTTAGCGAGCAATTTTCATCAAGACAACCATCAATGTCTTTGACATAAAAATTATAAAGAAGGGGGCTTAAACATGAGCCCTGGGGGAGACCCATGTAACTAATTCGTGAAGTTGTCGAGTTTCCATGAGAAAAGCTCATATATTTCTCAGACAACAAGTGGCTCAAATAGTTGTTCATAATTGGTGAAAGCCCACTATCGTGGAGTTTATCCGAAAGGACATCGATACAAACAGAATCAAAAGCCCCCTTAATGTCCAAGAAAACTGAACCCATTTGCTGTTTTTGCGCATAGGCCAGTTGAATTTCAGTTGAAAGCAACGCAAGACAGTCGCTCGTTCCTTTGCCTCTCCGAAATCCAAATTGCGTATCTGAAAGTAAACCATTCGACTCGACCCATTTGTCTAGACGAAAAAGAATCATTTTCTCCAACAATTTCCGTATACAGGACAGCATCGCGATGGGACGGTACGAGTTAAAATCCGACGCGGGTTTACCGGGTTTTCGAATGGCGATAACTCTTACTTGCCTCCAATCATCCGGAACAATGTTGTGCTCCAGAAATTGATTGAATAAGTTCAACAAGCGTCTCTTCGCGACGTCTGGGAGATTTTTGAGCAAGTTAAACTTGATTCTATCCATTCCTGGAGCTGAGTTGTTACATGAGAGGAGAGCAAGTGAGAATTCCACCATCGAAAACGGAGAATCTATTTCGTTATTACCCGACGGACGATCACGAACGTTGGTTTGAACCGGCACCGAATCCGGGCAAACTTTCCGCGCGAAGCTGAATATCCAACTGTCTGAGTACTCCTTGTCTTCGTTGACCGGTGATGACGCGTTTCGCATTCTCCTGCCGACATTCCAGAGTGTTCTCATGGAAGTCTCTCGCGACAAACCATCGACGAACCGACGCCAGTAACCGCGTTTCTTGGCTTTAATCAAGCCCTTGAAAGTTTTCTCGAGGTCGGTGTACCGCTCGAAATCCCCGACCTTACCGTGTTTGCGGAAGCGTTTAAACGCGGCGGACTTCTCGCTGTTCGCGTTGGTGCAATCCTTATCCCACCACGGAGTGAGAGGTCGTCTGCGAATGGAAACACCCGGAACGCGTTTCGTCTGTGCTTGAAGAGCGCAGTCAACGATAAGTCGCGATAAAAAGGAGTACTCATCCAGCGGAGGGAGTATCTCAACCGATTCAATACCACCGAGAACCGTGGCCGTAAATTTTTTCCAGTCGATGTTTTTCGTGAGGTCGTACGCGATGTCAACCGAGCGAGTGGAAGATGAACCATTAGTAATAGAAATTTTGATTGGCAAATGATCACTACCGTAGGGATCTTGGATTACTTTCCACGAGCAATCCAACGATAGTGAACTCGAACAAAGTGAGAGGTCTAATCTGCTTACTCTTGCTGGAGGTTTGGCTACTCGTGTTGCTTCCCCGGTGTTCAGAATTGTCATTTTGAAGATGTCGCACATGTCGTATATCAAGGTTGAGCGGTTGTCGTCGTACAGTTCCCCCCAGCCTGTACCGTGAGAGTTAAAATCTCCTAAGATCAACCGAGGCTCAGATAAAACTGAGCAGATATCTGAGAGACCTTGGCGAGAAATCGCAGTTCTCGGAGGAAAATATACTGAGGCAATACTGAGGCTTTTACCTCGAATATTTACCTGACACGCGACAACTTCAATGCCTGTCACGGAAGGCAGATCGATTCTATAAAAGGAATGGAGCTTATTAATCCCTAGAAGCACCCCTCCATACGAATCTGCTCGATCAAGGCGAATAATGTTAAAATCGTGGAAAGGGAGATCAGTGTCTGAAGAAAGCCATGTTTCACAAAGAGCAAATGCGTCACAAAGTGAGTTGTGAACTAAAAATTTGAATGCGTCAAGTTTCGGTATAAGACTTCTACAGTTCCACTGAAGAAGAGAGATCATATCTCCGACCTCATTCGGAAAATTATCCATCAAAAGATATGATCGATGCAAGGAAGGACCACCTAGAAGCTAGTTGCTTCAAAAGAGTTTTCACAAATGGAAGCACTAAATTAATAATGTTCCTAGTTGAGTCAGAGACGTTGAATATATTGAAGATGCTCTCCACAATTCCAGAAAACGTGAACATGGCATCATGTTCTTGCTGGTTATTTAGCTGATTTTCTGGCTGAAAAACTGGGATATCTGGGGTTTTAGATGATCCCGGAAGTGGCGGAAAGTCTTTGTTAAAATTACAAACTTGAAATCCCGGTGGTGGGGGTTTTGCTACATTTCCGCTACCTCTTAAATTTGTCAAGGTAGGTTGAGAGTCCGTACGAGAGGCCTTACGAGGTTTTTGGGTGACGTTTGTTTTGGACCGCTTCCTCGTGTTGCCGTTAAAGACAAAAGGACTACTCTCACCAACCTCTGAGTCAGAGCCCTGATCATCATCTGGCAGGAGGTGGAATGTGTTGTTGCTTTTTGGGGTGGTTTGGGAAGATGAAGCGGTCGTTTTCAAAATTTCTGCTAACGAGCGCTTAGAGCGAGCTTGCAAGGACCGCTTTAGTTTTTCTCCCTGCTGTTTGTACTTCGGGCAATCACTCAGAGCATGCGGAGCATCCTTACAGTAAACGCATATTGGTGTAGCATGACAAGGACCCTCCGTATGCTCCTCCCCACATTGATCGCACCGCGGTTTGTTGGAACAAAAGTCCGCGGTGTGACCTAGTTGTTTGCATTTCAAGCAATTCATTACCCTCGGTACAAACAAGCGTACAGGTAGTCGAACCTTCCCAATTGTGACGTAGTCAGGTAATGCCGATCCTGAAAAGGTCACACGAAACGAATCTGAGAGGGTATACTTTTTGTTTGTGCCTATGTGCGACACTGACTGCAGTTGAATGCAGTCCAGTATCTTGACTTTCGGAAGGGCACGGTTTTTGAAAATGCCGAAAGATTCGACTTGCAGGAAATCCTCACAAGTCAGACTCGAATCGGTGACCACTCCTTCAATTTCTACGTCACAACTGGGGACGTAGACTCGATATTCGATCGAAAAAAGCTCACAGGCAACAATTCGGTTTGCCTGTTTCAGGTTATCAACGGTAACGCGCAGTTTGTTTGGCGTCACCTTAAAGATATCGGTTACGGCCGAAAAATGTTTTGTCAGATCCTTCGAAATCCGAGAAATATTCAAAGGTTTTTGTTTGGGCCGGAAGAAAACAACCCACGGACCTTTCGAGTCATCAGGGTAAGCCTTGTGGCGGGGGGTCGCTGATATTTTCGGGGGAAGGAGTGGAGTAGGGGGCACATAAGGACAAGGCGGCGATGGTGGACAAAGCGGCGATGGAGGAGAAGGGGGCTGTGGTAGAGATTTCACTTTTGGATAGGCTCCAGTGTTCTTGCTGGTGGTTTGATCAAGGTGCTCTTCGAGGGTATCCATTTCCTCAGAGCTATCAAGCTTTTCAAATGAGGGAGACTTTATTGACTCATCATCAGAGATGTCAAGCGACAGACCCCCGCCTTTATTTGTATCATCCATTGCGGTGACTTAAGATACCACCGCAACGGAATTGGTTGCAATCTTAGTTATTAAATGTTTATATTTTCCACAAATTTCAAATATATGGATTGAAATTGGAAAGGAAACAACAAGAAAAGGAAGTCAACACTGTGAGTGAATTGCTCAGTGTTAAAAAAATAAAAATAAAATAAAATATGTGCAAAAAAAACTAAATAAGATAATGAATAATAATAAAAATAATAATTTGTAAGAAAGGAAATTCAACGCTGCAGGGGGATTACTTAATATTAGCAAATCAAAAACCAAACAAAAAAAAATTATTTACAAAAAAAAAAAAAAAAAAGAAAGAATTAGGCTGAGAAAAAAAATTAACTTATCTCTATATGCCGGGATGGCGCGTTTACAAACTCCACTGTGCGATGAAGCAGAGATGATCGCTCTATTGTTGCAGCACGTGGCTTAGCACAAAGGGCACCGTCCGGTCTGTATAGACCGTATCTGCAGTTCTGCTGCTTCGTTGTACGGTGTATACGGGTGATGACCTTTTGATGCCGTATGATGCGATGTCTAGGTGGTGGTTGATAGTTTTACCGTTGGACAATCCAATCTTCAGACTCGGCTGAGATGGTTGCTTCCTCCGGGGAGCGTTTATGTCCGCCTGTGGCACTGCACACCTGAAGGTGTAAAAAAAAACTCCGATCGGGGAGAGAAAAAAAATCCACTTTTTTCCGAAAAACACTTTTGCGGCGGCGGGAGAGTAGCGTAAGCAAACTTGCTCTGTCGAACGTTCGACGAGGAATACGTGATAGATACGTATTTCGACTCACTTAAATCTTTGTTTATTTTTAGATGGGTAGGTTCCGATTGGGTTTCTACGAAAACTATGTGCAACGGAATGATTTTTGTGTCTAGTCAACTCTCCGCTTGATTTTTGCACGTTGTGAATAGTCTCGCTATATCAAAGGAGCTTATAAAATCAATATCAAGCATGATATTTTGTTCCAATATCACGCGTGATATTGACAGTGTATGAGAGCGGAAAAATATAATTTGATTGCTGATTTTGCCAACACTGCTTTGTAGTTTTGGTTTCCAGTACGAGCATTCCCTCTTCCATGCTTGAAAAAGAGCTGCGATTTCGACGTAATCCCGACTACCTTTCAACAATCTGGCAACGTTCATTTTAATAGCCATAGAGTGGTTTTAAGGATTTAAAACACACGCTCAAGCGCATATATTAGGGTGGTTCAAATTGGGGATTTTTCTGCACATATCACAACCAATTTCAGACTCTGAAATCCCCCCAACCCTTGTTTTGCTAAAGCTATTTAATTTATACCTGATACCTACCCAGCAAAAAATTAATGTTGATGTCACATCAAAGTGGATGCACTTCAATCGTGCCGAAAATATGGCGTAATATTGTTTGCCAAAAAGGACAAAATTATCATTAAAACAGTGCATGAACTGACATTACGTTGCTTTAACTGAATTTGATTATTTTTGTGGTCATAAAAATTACATAAAATTTATCTTTTACTGTGTAGGTACAGTTGAATAATTTCCCTTTTATCAAGCAATTTACTGCTGCAACATGGCGAAAGGTTAGATGAAAAAAATCATTTTGGAAACATTAATGGACCAGTGCCGCTTCAGATTGTAAACAAACAAAAATCCAACTATGGAGCATGAGCAATACCGATTGCGCTGTGGAGAGCAGAAAGAAACTTGATCCACCCTAATATGCGTGTTGTCGTTGTACGATTACAGACAGAACAAATAACAAACCCACAGACGCAAACACAAAGTGCCTAGTCATGGCGGAACGAACTACCTAATGGTATAAATTTAATCCCGTTAATAAATTTCATTATAACAACTTTATTTAAATATATTTGTTCCAGTTGTTGTTGCCGTTAATGCTGCAATGGATTCTGCTTTTGCTTTACGGTTTCTGGATACGTTCTATTTGGGGTGCTATTCGGGCAGGGTTATAAGCCGCGTGATCTTATGGCGCCCTGTCTGTGGCCGCAGACAATAATGGCTGACTAGCATAATTTCTACTGCAGCTACTACAATGCGACATGTATTACACATATGGTGCCCCGTGAGTACAGGGTTAGATACATACGAAAATGTTTTGGTGTGGTATGTTTTGTGGATTTTTCATGTAGAGTTGTTCATCGTTTATTTTAATTAAAAGTGGACTTATTTCGGCAGCAATATTCTGGAAGAGCGAAGCATCTTTTGTAAAGAATCACTTCAACTGCCGAATTCTCGCAAATAAAACTTCATTCAAACTAATACCTCCTTAACTGCTAGAGAAAAGGTTGTTGTTAATTTGAGTAGGTTAGCTTTAACTGTTATTAAGGTGAAGTAATAAAATTGGGTTGTTAGCGGAATGCTTAAATAAAACAGCAAAAAAAAGGTTATCTTCCATTTAATTCCACTTAATTTATTTTGGTATACATGACATTTATGTATTTAGACTACAATGTGCAGTCTTCATCAGTGTCATTCCCACTAAAGACTTATCAAAAACCTAACCCTCGAAAGTACTCATTTTCGTAGGTGAAAATGTCAAAATCACTGGTATTAAAATGAAACTACTACGTGTAAAATCCTACCTACCTACCTAACTAATAATAATCAAAGATTTATGTAAAGTAAAGGAAAAAAATCTGTTCAAATCTCTAATAAGTTTAATGTTATTAAGGTTTTGTGGTGATTTATTATCTACAGTAGAATCTATGAAAAAAAAGTTCAACTTTGTGTTCCCTAATAAACGGGTACCATACACTAACGATATTATAGATTGTACGAACATACCACATAAAGTTGGGATGATAACCCGAATTGGTGGTTTCGCGTATCTTATGGTTATTGTTTATGCGGGTTACCCATTCAGAACTACGATATGTAAGCTAAGCCATGCTCCTCAACTTGACCTCCTGGACAATGAACCGTGAAAACCGGGAAAACCCCTGGAATTCGATGAGAAAATCGTAAAAAAAATAATAAACTTTACATCTCATTTCGGTAGTTTTTCTACTGCTTTCGCTTCAGCACGCATAGCACCTTAATGCTGCAAGCTCGTTGATCTCATAAACGATACCTAACAAATGTGACGTGTTCGAACAAAAGTAAATTCTAGGCTTTCTAAGGAGACTACGAGAAAGTCAAAAATGTTAAAATTTGTCTGTCCAAAAAGGTCGTCCTTGGAGAGTGTTTTTGGTTGTAATATGAAGTTTTTTTCTTCACAAAATTATTGTAATGGTTACTAAAATTAAATTCAAGAATTTGTCACGATTTGTAAGCCATGGTGATTTCAAGTTTATCAGCCTATCTGTGTGTTTCTTTTTCAGTTGATTAAATGTTAGCCAATTTCTGAACAACAATTGGAAAAAACATAGAAATTCAAATTAAACATGGGAGTTGTAACGTATTATAAGCTAGCATGCGAAAATTGATTCACTCGCGCGAGCACCACAGAAATAATATAGCCATCCTCCGCAGTAAACAGATTGCTGAACGAGTGTAAATTCTTCAAACCAAGTGATTTTGTACGTAGACTCGGAACTGACAGCAGTAGAACGAACGAGGGAGAAACTGAAAGACAGCCGATCAGCAAGTGAGATATTTTGTGGCCCAGTTATTTGAATGCAGACGCAATGCAGACCTTATCACATACCTTGAAAACGAATCACTTTTATGTCCAGTCGTACAATTTCTCTTTGACAACAATCAGCATAATGAATAATTAAAACTTTTATTTACAAATCGTCATTATCACCTTTTTGGAAAAATTAAGCGTTTCACTTAGCAATTGTATATTCAATCTTCATACATAATACCCCAGCAACTGGGAGTACGAGGAAGATCCGGAATATCGTGAAGTAAGTAATAAGTATTGAAATGAAAACGGCGAAAACAAAACAACAAACTGACAGTGTGGTTCAATTCACAATTTAAAAAAAAAATTAAGAACAAAAAGCATAAAGCACACAAATTATACAAAAAAGGAAATCACTTCCACATATTTATAACACTATCATAACAAAAGCAACCAACTCACAAAGCCATTAACTCTGCACATGAAGAATATATTCGTAAAGTCGAAAATGCAGTCAAACCATGTCCTAAGAACCTTGTTAATTATGTAAAAAAGGGCGACCCCGGCGTAATAGTCAGCATCCATACCTCTCACGCCAAAGTCACGAGTTCAACTTTCACCCCCGAACAAGTCACTCTTGGGTTAGAGTGTTAAAGGGACTATAATAAAAAAGAAAAAAAAAAGAATTATGTAAAAACGAAATTGAAAAGTAATAATTTTCCTTTCCTAATGCATTTTGACGAAAATGTAGGAGAAATTCTTCTGAAATATGCAATCTCTTTGCAAATTTCTGTTAGGAAGTATATACACTGGAAAAAGACCGCGACCGCAACTACTTTGCATTCACTCCTAAAGTTTCTGACAACATATCTATGATTTGTGATATTTCAGGGGTCTGGGAAACTTCGAATGCAAGTTCAGATCATTTTGACTGTAAACCTGAATACCTGTAGCCATTAGTGTGTCCTTCTCCAAAGGAACATCATTAGTTTAAAGTGATTTAGAGGTGTGTTCTGAAGATTTTAAGCAATGAGGGGGGGGGGGGGGTAAGAACTTTAGAGGTTCATTGCGGAAGATTTCAAGGCACATTTAGTGGATGTTCCAAGACTGGCTGGTATGGATTTTGAGTCAAGTTGTATAGATCCGCCATATCCGATGAACTTGTTCTAAAGAGGGTTGGAGGGTGTTCTGTTCTAAAGAGGGTTGGGCTGGTACACTGCACACTTAGAAATAACTACTTCTACACGAGACGTAATCCATATTGGACGTACATCATGGAACGTAAACGAACATTTCATGTAAAATTAAGTAAATCAAACCGAAACATAAGCAAGTCGACGAAGAGAACGTTTGATTGCATTGATTTTCTCGTTTCTTCCAACTGATTCTTATGTCAAAACTGAAA